CTATGAGTGTCCCTGATACACAAACCTCTTTACAATCTCTTTTATCCTCTTGAAATTATTCTTTGACATCTACTTTCAATTTATCAACATATATATTTTCAAAGAAAAGGAGAATAACAATTTTTAGTAAATTCGGATTGGAATTGCATGAAATCTGCTTCAGTAACAGGGAATTCCAAAACTAATTAATGTAACTAACTTTGGAGTCCCTTTCAATAGATATATATATATATACATACATGATATAAAGTCTAAAATTATTACTACAAAAGGAACATGCTAAAAATACACAGTAATCTAAGATTATCTAATATTTCAACTAAACACACAGTTTTTATTTCCTGCTATTAATCTGATAAAATAGAGATTGGACAGTTCTATTTGACCAATGGATTCGACTAATGTTTTAATTATTCAATATCTATGTTCAGAATTTCTCCCCCAGTTTCCTACTGGGCTGAGAGAGGCACAAAGAGCTAGAGGTCCGCAGAAGACAAAGCATTTTAGAACGCCCCTCCCCCCACTCTTAATTGCTGAGAGAGTTCGATATGTAACATCAATGGTCCCAGGGTGGCAAAGGAGAATTTTAAATGTGGTACCTTTTGGGAGGCTATGGAAATTTACCCAATTCTCAAAGTTTCAGTGGTCAAGGGAGATAACTTACCACATCAGTTGGTACTGGCCACCCTTCCTCTGGTTCCTCTATTTCTGGTGAAACATGTAAATACAATAAAGCATCTCCATCTTCACTCTCTTCATCACTACAAATATTAACAAAGTATCAATTCAGACTTGAATCACATTGCAGTTTGCCGGTAAAATTACCCATTTTGTGATTCGATATTTCCTTTGATTAGCCAAATCTAAACTAACTTCATTGGCAAGATCAACCCTAGGAAGAACATTTTGAATCTCTACCGAACTTTTATGAAATGCGAATCAAAATTAAATTTAAATTGCTAATCAAATATTTCAATCTTATTTTATCCCTAGTTCAAGCAAACATATTAGTTGCTTTACATTAAAATCATGTACAATAACTCCTAGTGGAAATATTTGAAATTAGACTGAAGAGTTTAATACAAAAATTGCGAAACTGCAGACATATTTTCAATTGGCAATCTATACACAATATTGCTTACATTGTTAAACTGAATAAATAAAAACATTCCTAATTCAGATATGAACTCAACTTCTAAACATTGTCTTATGAATGATATTGATAGATAAACATGAGTAGAAGAGGAGTTCATTGAATAGGTGAGGGGCATCAAATACATTCTGGTACATTTTTTTTAAGTTTGTATTAACATACCTGCTGACAAAAGCTTGAATTGGTTCCACAGTTGTCACATCTACATCTACCTCTTCCTCTTCTTTACCTGTATCATATAATTATAGGAAACCAAGGCTAAAAGGTGTTTGAAGGCTAACTGTTTGATCAGACACATGTAAACAGGCATACATGGGAAATCGGTACAAATAGAAATAGCTGAGCAATGTAAAAGCCAATATAATAAATTATGACAGGTCTGTATGAATTTTCCTCATATGCCAGATAGTTATAAAGTATTTAAAGCCTGTATCTTAAGTGGATATATGTCTCTGTGGCTGGATGTTTGGTTGTTAAAAAGCATAAGAACGGCAAACACTGGACTACTTTTTGATATAACACTGTAGTATTTTTTAATACAACGCTGTAGTATTTTTTAATACAACGCTGTAGTATTTTTTAATATAACACTGTAGTATTTTTTAATACAACGCTGTAGTATTTTTTAATACAATGCTGTAGTATTTTTTAATACAACGCTGTAGTGTTTTTTGATACAAAGCTGTAGTGTTTTTTAATACAACGCTGTAGTATTTTTTAATACAACGCTGTAGTATTTTTTAATACAACGCTGTAGTATTTTTTAATACAACGCTGTAGTATTTTTTAATACAAAGCTGTAGTATTTTTTAATACAAATCTGTAGTATTTTTTAATACAACGCTGTAGTATTTTTTAATACAACGCTGTAGTATTTTTTAATACAACGCTGTAGTATTTTTTAATACAAAGCTGTAGTATTTTTTAATACAAAGCTGTAGTGTTTTTTGATACAACGCTGTAGTGTTTTTTGACATAAGGAATGCATTGTACAGGCAAGATGTAACATTATAAAGATATGGATGTTTCAGCCACAAAGTAACCGATATGGCTTTCTTGTTGACAGTCTCTTTGACTTCTTCTGGAATGGGAGATGAAGACAGCAAAATTAATCAGCTTTAGAGTTAAATGAGTTGAAAGAGAAAAAAACAAAAAGTCACCATTTGCATTTTCTTCTTTTTCTTTGTCTTCATCTTCCAGATCAAATTCTGATTCTCTCTCCTCATATTCTACATTTTCATCTAATTCTTTAAAATCAGGGGCAAACGCTGACCAATTTTCCTGGAAAGAAATAGAACTACATAGAAGATAGATGCAAAATCTAACCAATTTTCCAACCAACATATTAGTCAAGGACCAGCTGGTAGAAAGGATCCTTGTGAATCTAAGTTGTTATCCTTGTAAAAAATTATTGTTTCTTTCTTGCTTTCTTTATGTAGTGCCTGATTTTAAGTCACATCACACTTACTGCTCCAGTGAAATGGTGCAGACTTTCCTTAAAAAGAATATTTTTTGATGCCATTGCCTCTAAAATCAGTAATCTGTTGATCATATCATTCCAAGTTCCAATCTCCCTACCTAATCTACCTTCAAGATAAAAGATTACTTACAACTTGATTCTGAGCCCAGATAGAAACTAAACCACTTGATATTGATACAATAATAGGTCGTACTGGATGCCACTGAAATTAAACACAATGTCCTACTACATAACCATAATAATTAATAACCTTTATGAGGATATCTCATGGCCTAACGGATTCAATCTCCCTCTGGATAATGCAACATAAATTTTAGAATATATTCTTCTGTCAATTATTGGGCTGATAAACACTGGATGAGAATGAATATATCTAGTCTGCTAAGATTGTTGTTATGGTCACATGATGTGATGCTCAGAAATTCCAAAAAACTGGCTTCATAATCTCCAGAGCAGGAATTACAAACAATCTAGGGTATACCAATAAACAAAGTACTTATATAGAAGAAAAACTATGGCAAAACTATTTAAGTACAAACTGTATACTTACCACTACATCAAGTAAAAGTTCCCCCTTAGTACCATGTAATATTTTAACGAGATTGCCTACACCCTTCTCCCAGATATACAGCGAATGTTGTCGAGCTGAACCAGCTACTATATATTCTCCATCTCCCGAAAAACAACATTTCTTCCATAACGTTCTACAAATTATATCAAAATTATACTGATTTTGTCTTAATAGGTTTAAAATGTAATATTTCAGATATCCACTTACTAAACAAGGTTTTAGGCCTCAAGCCAAAATCACCCATTGTTTATGGATAGAAATCGTATTTTCCAATTGTACGTCACACGAATCCAACAGACCTGTTAATTTATTAAACATCAATTCTATTAACAAGGGTTCATATAGTCAAATACATAGACAGTAGTTTTAAACATAGATTGACTTTTGAAATGTAAACTGAACCTTGTGTTTGTTGTATAATACCAAGTTAATGGCTAGACCACAGGCCTTATTCTTCATGATTTTAGTGTTCCAGTCATCTGATGGTAAATCACAAAAATCGATCTGTATTTCTTAAAATCTGGATTTGATCCTAGTTATGTTTATGAAAATGCTAATACTTATATGAATAGAAAGCAGATGTGTTCTACTTATACCTGTATGTCTCACATGTCCATAATTAATTCATAATTAAATTAGAAGAGAATTACCAGCAGAATCCAATGAGTGACCAATCAAGAAAGGTCAAAAAGTATTTTTTTGTTTATCCAGACAGTACTTAAATGGGCAATTATGACTCTTTATCAATTGCT